AGGTTTAAAAGCCCAACACCGTCGTAAAGGCTTTCTACCCACCCCGACTAAATAACTGCCCCTCGTCTCAGTGGTTGAAACGGTTTAACCCGTTTCCCTGACTCAGCACTGCTTTGCACGTTGGAAGTCTGGCCTACTGAATTCTGCAAATACAACGGTATCGTGTTGCACCGCTGTTTGTCTGCCTCATTCTAGCTGTAACTTAGTTTCATTTGCTGTAATCTCAGTTATCTATACTCACTGTGAGTAACAATTATGTACACATATGCTGTCAACCAAACTCTCACATAACAAATATTAAGAAATGTTATTGTTACTTGAGTACACGATGATTGGTGGTTGGTTAAAAGTGTGTCGAGTTATTGTTGAATTTATTTATTTATTTATTTCCAGGGTGTGTAGCTCAGTCAGCAAAGTGATGTCTGATTAGCACGTGCAAATGAAGCTTTTATTTCCACTCCAGGGACGCACTGATACTTCTTTTTGTAATAAAATAGATTTTAGTTGGTGTTTTGTCACCAGCATCGTTGTTTCATTTCCTGACTGCAGTAAAGTATTGTAACTGGTTCCGTGTGTCATTAACAACTAATTGGAACAGATTAAATTATTCTTCTGTTCGAGTTTTCTTTGAAAGGAACTTTAGTGCAATTAAACATAGAGAAACAACCGTGTTTGGTGTTTAATTGCATTAGAGCCTGACTGATTTATCAGCAGGCTGATATGTTTGCCGGATTATCGATGGCTGATAAGAACCTATAAATCCTTTAAATAACCTTTAAATAAAGAAGAGATGGGAGAAGCACTCAACAACTTTGAGTGTTGATGTTGCAGTTTGTCCAGCAGAGGGCGCTCTTCAACTTCATTGCTTTTTAATTTGCATTGTCACGATTTTATCACAAAACCTGTGATATTAGAAACCTGGGTTACTAAATCACCGGATATGAGTATCAGTCTTTAAAGAAACAAACCCTGTATCAGTTGGGGTTTAATTTCTATCGCCGTGTGTAACGACCAAGTGTTTCTGCTGAGCTATGTCAGCACCACTGAAGAAACACCTGATGTAACCTACACTGAACTTCTGGAACATTGAAGGATACTTTGTTTATTGTGAGGATTTTGAAAATAATGACCCATCTATGCTAAATAGACTTTAGGCATCCTTTGGTTCATACTTTACAAATCACAACTGATGTTTTGGTTGGATGTAACGGTTAAAGCAAGAGGTTAACAAGTAAGTTGTTGGAGTAGACCAAGAGAGAGTAAAAATAGAGATGTCACTGTTAGCAAAAGTGTCCAAAAACAAATTATTAGAGCTCTAGACTGACATGTCCTTTTAGCCTCTGTCATCAACCACGGGTCTGGTTGCTGCTCCATGAGGGACGTGGCTAAAATGTGACAATAGATACAGGAAGTGCTTTAGCCGTTTAAGAAAGGGGCTTGAGGACCTCAGCAGAAACCTTTACAGGCTTTATTTGTAGTACTCGTTTAAATCAGCTGAACATGCTTTGTTTAGTATTTTGTAGTAGATCCATGAAAACAAATGGATGGGCCTATCTGGGATCTATTTCAGATAACCTGATTTCATTAAAAACACATCCTCATCACACTGAAACATTGTTTCTGCGTGAATTTTCAGGTCCATTGGATGAAGATGGTCAGCCCCATGGTTTCTGCACTGTGACCTACTCGTCCAGTGATCGCTTTGAAGGACATTTCACCCATGGAGAGAAAAATGGCAAGGGCAAGTTCTTCTTCTTTGATGGAAGGTACTGTAAACATAACAAACTAAGGACTTAAATAATCTGTTAGGATCACTGATGAGGACGTAAATCTGACATTACTTGAATTAAAAA